GTAATAAGAGGTTGTGAGAATTAATTGGTGTCTGGGAAATTGACATAGATGCTGTTAATGGTGTTAACAGAAAACTTCAATTTCTTGAAGTATGTTCAAGACATTTTAACTATGACCAAAATAATGTATATAGTAAAGGTTTGAAAGACCAACGCTCAACTGAAAAAAGTCAAATTCATTGTCGTATCTGTTTTTTCTGCAACAAAAATAAGATTTTCTTTAGTCGTAGAACAAGTTGTATAGAACATACATGGATTGTGTATAATCAGACACTACAAATACCTTGTTGTAGAATGGCTCTCTGTCCAGCTATTGATCAAAGCTTATATACAGAAAATACATCTAATTCGCAGGAAGTTCGTTATATATGCTGTCAGTGTTATGAAAAGAATGATGAATATTTGCATATACGCATGGGTACAGAAGCTAAGAAAGACCTAGGATGCACCGCAATGCATTTAGATGATATTGAAACTGCTCTCCGCCACTTTGCAAAGCTAATTGAAATGGTGACACATTCAGAGAATGAAGTAACAAAAAAGAATTTACTTTGAATTCTCATTCTGTGCTTAGAAAATTTTGATTTGGATTCATCTTTTGCACCTAGCCAACTACCTAGCTTGTTTGTAGTTACCACAATTTTTAAAATTAAAAGACTTATACAAAAATCTAAAAAATATGAAGAATTTGAAAAGTTACTTGCCCTTGAAGTTTTGAGATCACGCACTAGCCTAGCACCTTGTAAATCAACATTAGAATATCCCAACTCCTTACAGCAGTACTATGAAATAATACCAAAATGTTTAACAAGCTTTTTTGATGGATTAGTTCTTACTTTGCAGCTTAAAAAATATGAAATTGTAAAACAAAAACAAAAAGAATGCAAAAGTGCCATAGCTGAATTCAACAAAAGTGAAGTAATAAAAAGCACTGCATTTTTGTCTTCTATAATTCTAACAATCACATTTAGAAGTTGGAAATTTTGGCTTTCACAAGTGATTGGATCTTTTTGTAAACGGCCAAAGCTTGCATCATACTTGTGTGATATTCTTCGTGTGGCAAATGTAGTAGCATATTCAAAAAATTATGAGGTAAAGGTTCGAAAGAAATGCATGTTGGAAGCAAATATGCAAGAAAAAATAAAATCAGGTTCAAATATTTGAAACTTGGCGATAATAGACAATATCGATTTCAAAGAAAAAACATTTAGAGCTGGTAATCTATATGATAACACTCGAGATACGGCTCATGCTACCTTGCGCATGGTTTTTCAGTTAGAAATGCCTGACCTCAACATAGCACCTTCAACAACTGATATTGATTTGTGTGAAAAAAATCTGGTTGTAGAACAGTAGACAGAAAAGCTTACTCAGATCTTTAACCAATTAATTATGGAATATCCACTAGGATTTGCTATGGATGAAATAAATACAGTGCTCAAAGAAGCAGTGAGAAAAGGATGCAATGTTTCTCTTCCAACAGTCGTTATCTTAGAAGCTGGACCAGTGCCAAACAGTAATCTTGCAGTACATAAAACTTGTGAAATGTATATAAAAGGCCTGAAATTAAATCAAGGTAACTCGTTAGACATTGTATGTGATAAGGCCATTTTTTGCAGACTTACAGATTATTCCAATAATCAATTAAAGTTAAATCCTATCCTTGGTCAGTAGCATACAAGCAAGAATATGTGTAGTGCTTTAATTGTCGCCTTTTCCAGATATAGATTATTTGGACTAGTGTCTGTACTTGGTACAAAGTTTCTAGAAAAACTTCAGGATGTTGTCGATTATCATGCAACATTTCATGTTCTTGAACTTATCTGAGCTGCAGTAGCAATTGTCATTCATAAATATATGAATGACAATTGCATAACACTAGAAGATATCAAAAATGGAAGCAACAATATTTTAAAAGTTTGGCTCCTATATTATCAGTGGGCAGGTTGGCTCAAGCTTCACAAAATTGGCATT